CGCTGTCTAGAAAAGGGAGTGAAAGGGAGGAAAACTTGATTGGAAGCTGAGGCCTCATTAAACTAAGAAAAAGCAGGGCTCAAGGAAGAGGGGAGCCTGCTAGAACCTGAGGCCCTGTTGAACTAAGGTTTTGCTGAAGCCTTAGCACAGGGTGGCCAACCTGCAGCTCTTCAAAAGTTCTCTCTGCCTAAACCCCCCCAGGGCCCTGTTCATGAGAGCAGAATATCAGAAGCAAAACAGCAGGCCTTTCTCATGTTACTGAGGGCAAAGTACTAGTCTCAGGACAGCAGGATGAATATCACAACTGAAATAAGACTTGAAAAGCCCAGACACTCAAAAATGCCTACAAGGTGTATTAAACCCAAGTGAAACCATCTCTCAAGAAGGAAACCCATTCACCTGTTGTTGTGCTCAGCTGCAATCTTCTGCTTTTCCCAGAATGCAGTCTTTTCCTCATTGACTAGATCAAACCATGCCCAGAAAAACAACTTCTTCAAGGAGGCTGCATGAAACTTGCTTGCTTTCTCCTCCAGGATAGAGAGGGAAGCCTTGTACTGGGAAATGGATGCAGAAAAATAGGTGAGAATGTTCTCCTGAGCCCAGGGTTGAGAAGAAAAGGGAGGGAAGGGCTAGGATCAAGTGGGAGAGACAGCAAAGAGAATGCAGAGATTGAAAGAGTGAGGAAAGGAGCATTAGGAAGGATAGTGATGAGTGGGGAAAAGGGCTGACAAGTGAAGCCGGAAGTGTTGGGAAGCAGAGTAAGTGGATGACGAGGGGAGTGATGGGGCTGAAAGGGAGGTCAATGAGGCAGCAGATACATTGCATGTCCATGTGAGGAAGAGTTTACCCGGAGCCTGCAGGTGCTTATGGTTAACCTTGCAGCTGGGCTCTGGAATACAAGAGCAGGTGCTTAAACAAATAACATCCCCACCCTTGTGGCCTGAACTTACCTTTAACCAGCTCCTGAAGCCCCTTCTGAGTAGCATGCAGGAACAGAACTCCTCAGCTCGAGCCATCTTCCCAGCAAGGATCTCCTGTGTGTGTTGGAGCCAGGCCAGCAGGCATTTCCTTTGGAGCCCTAAGCAGTGGTGCCTTTGTGCCACCTGGGCAGAGTGAGAAGAATGGCCTGTTATCCAAAAAAACATGTCCTGGGGCTGCAGCTAGCTCTGGAACCTCTACCATAAAACTACCCTGGCTTGAATGTAAAGATCCCAGCAGGGCCCAGCTTACGTGGGGTTTTACCCCAACTGGAAAGCTTCATATATCTTCTGAAGCATCTCTCTCCCCATTGTACCTCAGACAAAGCCCCGTCATTAACAACGACCATTTCTGGGCATAATCTCTGAGACAGAAAGGTGAGCAGCTTCCTGTGAGGAAGCAGGCTACAAGCAAGGTCTACTAGACTAAAGAATAGTGCCATGAGGCAATAAGAAGCCTATCACTGAAGATGTTAAAACTAAACTGGACAGGATGCTAGTGAGCATATTGAAGGGAGGTTGTCTGTTACCATGTGCAAGGACTGACTGGCTGAAGTTTTGTAGGGTAGGGTTAGGCGTAGTAAGTAATGGTTGAGCTCTGAAAGTGTCACTTAGGTCTTGGACCATGTCTGGGGAATAGGTCTGCTCCAGTTCTGAAAGGCCATGTAACCTAGGCCACAACTCTAGCAGGAAAGAGAGTCAGTCCTGCTAGGACAGTCTGGTTTGGTCTCACAGCTGCTCCAACCCTGAAAAACTCTGTATCCTCAAAGCTCATCCTGGCAACAGCTTGCTCTAACTCGGTCTTACTTTAGCTGGGAACGATACTGTAATGAAGTTGCTGTGGGATTCTTTATAAGGAAAATACCTTAGCTACTGTGGGACCTAACATTCCAGAAAGTTGATTTTTTTTTCTTGTATTTTTATGTTCCTTTTTTTTCTGCTGCTTTCCTCTTCAGTCTCTTAACAGTCCACAGCGTGGACATATCAGACTGCTGTTTGACAATGTTTGCTAGGGTACCAGCTTTCACTGCCAAGGGAATGGACTGGACCTGGGACCTTATCAATCTGTTGCATCACTGGCTTCTTTGATACTGGTCACCAAGATGGATTTACAGAGCAGGTGCTTGTCATTCCCTCTCCAATCTCACCAGATGCTCACACGTGTGTAGCCAAATTCAGCCCTGTTGTAAGTTGGTGCAACTTGATGAATTTAAACAGAAGCTGTCTGCTTCCAGCAGAAATTAATCTGGCCAGTGTCCTTCATGATACACTTGAGTTTTCCCATTCCAAGAAGCACTTCACAGTATGCCATGGCTTGGCATACCACCATTCAGACACTGGTTTCCTTAGTGCAGTGTGTGTGGAGGACTTGGAAGCTGCTTCATACTGTTTTCTGGAATTCTCCCTGCCTGCCTACAGGAGTGGAGGGATGATCGTATTGGAACAGGCCAAAAGTCGGTCTGGCCCAGTCCAGATTTGATGTTTTAGAGAAGAATAGAGGTCCCATAACACAGAGTTTCTCAACCTGTGGGTCTTGACCCAAAAATGGATCACAAGAATATATGAAAGGGTCGCGAGCAAACTTTCAAAATGTATCATATTTTGCATACATTTTGAAATGCATGCTTGTGCTTCACCATATGATAATGCTGGCATACTAATAAACAGGGATCCAGGTTTTCTGTTTGCCATGGAAAAATGTGGATTTTCTCCTTTAAAGGAAAAAAAACGTTGAAAACTGGGTTTCCCCTTTCAGGCTGGCAGAATTCCAGCCTGCAAGGGACTGCTTAGGGCTGGGAGGAGGGCAGTCAGGCAGGGGGAGCCATGTGCGTGTGCATGCGCACACATATATGTGGCAGCCAGGCAGCATGGGGAGCAGTTCACATAGCTCCCCGCAGGTTAGTCTATGGGGTGCAGGGGTGGGGGGACATAGATGACGCACTGAAGGGACTGGTGGGGTGGGGGCACAGGCAAAATGCATCGGGGAAGCATGTTCCCCCCGCCCAGATGTATGTGCCCATAGCAGAAGCAGGGCTGCAGCCTAGCCAGACTGATACAGCCAGGAGGCGCTTCCACAGCCCAGTGGGTTGGACCTGGCATGGGAGGATAGAGCACGGCAGTGAGATTCATTGCTGCTGCTGCTGCAACCAGGACTCCTGCACCAGCTATGCTGCCAGCAGCACAAGGAGTAAGGGATGGGGGGAGGGGAGGCATACTACCCTTGCTGCCTCCTGCTACCATGTGCTCATGTGCTGGGCCTCAGCTGCACCGTGCCATCGTGCCCTGGCCACTCCTGCGACCACCACTGCTCTCCTTAGGCCATCTGGCTGCCAGACACCCCATCTCCCCTCTGGGGTAGAGCTGCACCCTGAAGGAACTGGTGGTGGCAACAGCCAAGCGATGGCAGCAGGGTAGAGCTGTGGCTCGGTGTGCAAGCAGCTGGTGGCAGAAGGAGGTGAGGGCAGAGTTCCTCCCCAACCCCATCCATTACTCCTTGTGCTGCTGGTGGCATAGCTGGTGCAGGGGTCCCAGTGATGGCAGCAACAAGTCTTGCTGTCCTGCTCTGCCTTCCCATGCTGGGTCCCGCCCATTGGGCCATGGATGGCTCCTGCCTGTGCTGGTCTGGCCAGGCTACAGCCCCATGCCTGTTGTGGGCACACATCGGGGGAGGCATGTACCCCCCCACCCCTGTCCCACACACCCCCTGCCCCATACACTGTGGGGCTGGGGCCCAGGGGTGGGGAACTGTGGGTTGGAAGTGAGGGGCACCAGCAGGGCCAGGGGGCTGTTTTCTACTTCAGCTATTTGCTGGGTCAGAACTGGTCATTGATGTTTACAAATGGGTCCTGGAACAAAAAAGG